AAGGAACCAACCACTGAGGAAGATTCAAACAAGCTTAGCATGGACAACGTTCGGGGAAGGCTTCATGGTAAGGCCAATCAGTCTGAACCGGATATCATCAGGGATGAACATGACTACCATGTCATAAGATCTTTTATTTTTGAAGATACGGTCGTTTCTTTCCTGCTAAACATGGTAGACGGCTCTAGCAAGCACTAATTTGCGAATAATAGACTAGATGGTCTTGTCTTTTGTGATTTGCTAGAAGACTCTCATGATATTAGTCCACTCATCCGAAACATTAGAAAGGTTCAGCTTGGGTTTAAGACCATTCCAAACCTGATTAGAAAAAGAGCATTCAAAGAAATATAGCTTGGGTTTGATGTATTTCCATGCACTATATATATTCGATATATCGAAAAATCTTATATAAAAAAAAGAGAAATACCAACTCGAAATCGATTACCCACACCATGTTAAATGCCTCCTTTACTCAACCATCAAACTAAAATCCAACCACAAACACATGCCCCACACCACACTATCATATTCATACCTCTTTTCCTTTTATCCCCAAATGCCCATTTCATCATCTGCTTCTACAGACATGAAAACCACCACAATTCCGGAAATTAAGATGTATCTTAAGATCGTTGCTTGTTTGATTCTTATGGCTTTTGCTTATCGCATCTATTTCTTAAGTTTTCTTCAGATTTCACCTGTCATTCCGCTTGTTGCTGATGATGATGATGCCAGTAGTATTAGTCCCTCACCGCCGTCTGTGGCCGCTAATTTCACACTTTCCGGCCAAATTCCGGCGAATGTTACCGGAGATGACGACAGTACGTGTCTGTTTTCCTTCATTCACTTTTCTTGGAGTAAATTACGATAAATAATTTCAATTGTGTTCCTATAATTCATTACTAAAGTGGTAGGTTCATCAAGGTGTGATATATTCGTGGGCGAATGGATTAGGGATCCCAGCGGTCCACGATACACCAACCGGAGCTGCCATACAATCGAACATCATCAGAATTGTATGAAAAATGGGCGGCCAGATTCCGGGTATATATACTGGAGGTGGCGACCCCGAGACTGCGAGTTGCCGACATTCGACCCCCAAAGATTTCTGGATTTAATGAGGAAGAAATCGATGGCGTTCATTGGCGATTCAATCTCACGTAACCATGTCCAGTCCTTGCTTTGTGTTCTTTCTCAGGTATGGCACTCGTCGTCACATTTTTGGCTGAAAAGTTTAGAGTAATTTGTTATAAACTAAGGGGTCGTTTACCAAACGTTTGGTTAATGAAGGCGACGACTCTTACCATAGTAAGCAGTTACCAGGTAAATTGTTGCATACGATATTATTTTGATGGACAAAAATCTTACTCAATAAGTAAATAAGAGTGTTAAATTTTACCGGTAAAGACTTAATGGATAAATGTTTGATAAACAGCTCCTAAGTTGAGAGTGATACATAATTGGAAAAGGTAATTTGATACAATTTTATAAGTAATTATTACACTTTTTAAATAATTAAATTATATTTTTACACTTGACAATAAAAGAGAACTTTTCTTCATCTCATAATTAAGAATAGAATGATAAACGAAAATTTACTCTTGAAAATGGACACTTGTTTAGGAGAAATTAAAATAGAAATGTGGACATTTAATTTGGGACAAATATAAACCAGATGAAACTGTAAATGACCTTAAAATGACAATGGGAAAAATATAAGAGGGTATGATTGGAAAAAATAACTCGTAGAGCTTATTGAAACCTTTCAAAAAAACTAGATTATAACAACATCTTCAACATATTCTCTAAAAAAAAATTCCAAAATTAAGAGAACATGAGAGAGATTGTGAATTTCTTCAAAATAAAACTCCCAAAATAATTAGTAGAAAATCCAACCGATCATCGGAAAGTTCGTCTGCTTTGGTTTTAAGAGATCATCGGAAAGTTCGTGAAGATGCGTATGGTTAAGTTTGCAGGTGGAACAACCGATCGAGGTGTACCACGACGAAGAATACAGAAGCAAAAGATGGTTTTTCGATTCACATAAGTTCACGCTTTCAGTAATTTGGTCACCTTTTCTAACGCAAGCCAAAATCTTTGAAGACAACGATGGGCATGCATCAGGCGCAGTCCGACTCCATCTCGATGAGCCCGACTCGGAATGGGCCAACGAATTCGGTAACTTTGACTACATACACATGGGGGCCGGGCAATGGTTCTTGAAAACCGCAATCTACTATGAGAACAACACGATTGTAGGGTGTCACAATTGTAAGAAAGAGAACGTATCGGAACTCGGATTCGTTTACGCGTACCGTAAAGCTTTGCAAACGGCTCTCAACTTCATCATGAGGTCGGACCACACGGTTCACGCCTTGCTTCGGACCACGATACCCGATCATTTCGAGAACGGAGAGTGGAACACCGGAGGATATTGTAATCGGACGGTTCCATTCAAAGAAGGAGAGATCGAACTTAGATACATCGACACGATAATGAGAGATGTGGAATTGGAAGAAATGAAGGCGGTTGGGGCTATGAACCCATCGAGAAAAGGGTCGACTTTGAAACTGTTTGATACGACCCATTTGTCGTTGCTGAGGCCCGATGGGCACCCAGGCCCATACCGCGCATTTCATCCGTTTGACGGGAAAGATACGAAATCTAAAGTTCAAAATGATTGTTTGCATTGGTGCTTGCCTGGGCCAATTGACTCATGGAATGATTTACTTATGAACATATTGCTTAGAGGTTAAAGATGGGAAGTTCTTTTGGTACAGGTTTTGACTCATGGTTTCATTGTACTTTCTGAAGCAAATATAGATTGTATCTCACTCAGACACCAGGTAATATATACGTAACCTGGGGTATAACACGTACATCTTACCTTTTACCTGAAGAGTAGAGTGATTGTTTTCATTAAGATTCTCGACTAGTGAAAAGTATGAAAGGGAGAGGTTACGAGTCTAATGGGTCATTTACCACCGCTTACCAGGTACCATTCACCATACCTACTTACCTTATCAGGTAAGTATGGCAAAGATGAAGAATCTTACCCGATAATCTTGCCCGGGAACATAAACGAACGAACATGAACAAATTTTTTTGTTCGTTTAGTTAAACGAACGAACATGAACAAGAGTCTTGTTCGTTCATTTACATTTGTTTATGTTCGTTTATATATTAATTTTAATATATAACTTCTATTTATTTAGTTTGAATTCAAATTTTAAAAAGCCTTTTAAGTAGTGAGCCTTTTAAATATTAATATATTAATGATGGTTGATGAATGGTGATTGTTTTGTATATGTTTAAACTATGGATAATTGGCGAGTAATAGTTAATTGAATGATAAGTATTGGTGTTCGTTTGTTTATGTTCATTTAGACCTGTTCGTTTACATTCGTTTAACTCGTTCGTTTATGTTCGCTCGTTTACGTTCGTTTAACATGTTAACAAAAGAACATAAACAAACACGAACACACCTGATTTCTAAATGAACGAACACGAACACGAACACAATTTTTTTTGTTCGTTTACCGTTCGTGTTTATTCGGTTAAGCCGAACGAACGAACATGAATAAGCCTCTGTTGGTGTTCGTTTGTTCGGTTAAGCTAAACGAACATGAACAAGCCTCTGTTCGTGTTCGTTCGGTTCGTTTACAGCCCTATATGTAAGGCCTCCACACAACAATTTATCTTAATGCATACAAAGAGCTTAATCATTATATTCAGTAGAAAAACAAACAACCAAGTAACTTAACGCATACAAACAGCTTAATCATTATAGATGGCTTAATCCCCAAGTCTTAAAACTATTTATGCAGCCCCTACGTATGCAAAAGGCTAAATGAACAATCAATATTAGATGCGTTCATGTTGATTAATGAACAGTTACCAAAATTTATTCAAATAAAGAAGTCGGGTTTTCGAAAACACATCTGCAGATTACAAACCAAAATAAACATTTATAAGGGAAAAACATGGCATCGCTTGAAGAGATGCGAAGTCACCTCTTGACATCAGTTCTACTTGCTTGATGATGTCGAACCTTGCTTTTCTCCTGGCGGTTTAGCGAAGGGATCCTGCGTATACGGAAAACACACAACGCCTAAGAATGTGTATGTTGGCAAGCAACTTCAATAACTTGCCTATAACATCAACCAGAAAATACAGATTTTTGTTTAGTTTGCAGAATAAATAATGTTAAATGACCAAAATATCCTTTTATGATTTTTTTTTGTAAAGTTGACCTCCAGGTAAGATTTTGACCTCCACCTAAATGAATTGGAGTTCTACATATAGCTTTTAGTGTTGCAGATGCCATTCTTTATCTTATATCTTCTATTAAAACCTAAATCTCAAATGAATTCCTTGAACTCTAGAATAACTGATCTTCTGACACTAGCCTGATTTCCTTAATAATTTCCTGTAGGCTCTCTTATTTCTTCATTGAAATGCCTATTAATTGTTGCCTGCACAATTTGAACGTTAAGAGTCCCAATCGGCTAGACTTTGACCATTTATCCTTAATAAATGTTAGAACCTCCCGTCTCTCCTCAAGGTCTCTTTTAGAGAGTAATCTAATAGGGTTTCACATATTCCCACATGGTATCAGAGTCTAGGTTTAGCACTCTTACCTTCTAGGGACTCGACAATCTCGAGCAATCTGTGCATGTCTAGCCCTTCTCAACACCCCGAGACAATCTATGCCCATCTAGCCTCCGTTGGTGGGGGCTTGTTGGAGTCCCTAAATATATGTCGGAAACTCCCTTCTTTCCTCAAGGACTCATTTGGAGAGTAATCGAACGGGGTTCCACATATTCTCACATTGACTATGTTACTAATTGACCAAAAGTGCCTTTGCTTAAATCAAAGTTACAAAGGAAGTGCTTCAATTGGATAAGTCTGTTCAAACTATTACTCCTGAATTCACAGCTAAAATATCGACTATGGTGCTCCATGTGGCTTATGACTGTACTTAAAACTTATTCTTGCTATAAAGATCACTTTTCTAATCCAAACACACCAGAAGTAGCTTTGCCCAAATCAAAGCAATAAGGTGCTGCAATTTGATAAATGATACATTAGCTCCAACTATGTCTACCGAATACACACAATTAAATTTTGACTAAATTGCTCCATGTAGCTTGGCTTCCATATTGGTATACTTACTGTTTCCATGAAGAGCGCACTTCCAACCAAATCAATTTCAAGACTACCAATCAAACTGTAAAAAGCAAAACCTTTCCTTTTGAATTCATCAAACCCTTGATTTCTCCTAATTATTGTAAATCATCGAGTTCTAGGTGTTTGATTCACTTTATTTTGTGGGTTTTTGTCTTTATGATTTCAATTGGAAACCTCGAAAAGAATGCTATTCATTCATCTTCTCTAACCAAATGAAAATTAGGGATTTATGTTGTATCGAATCATCATATAATCACTCCCAAGAGAGAGACTCATTAGCTGTTGAATTTATTAACGGCTTTCAAAGATTTTGTGTTATTAAGCATTTTTTTATGGATGATGGAAATCCAATATATAAGATTTGTGATTTTAAGCATTTTAGGGATTTACTTACAGTCGCCATGAAAAGCATACTTCTAACCAAATCAATTCGAAAACAATCATTCAAACATTGATAAGCAAAATCTATCATATTAGACAATCATCCCGAGGCATCTTTACAGGAATGGCTCTTCCAGTGAAACCTAGAACTTCCCAACGCAATTCATATGGATATATTACGAATCTATTATCACATTTTCTCTAGCTGAATTAATCTTTCCAAATCTAAATGTTATCTCCGTGGAAGTTGACGACAAACTCATTTTCCAGATTCAATTACGAGGTATGGCTCTTACATTTATTGGAATGAGAGATATAATCATGGATTTCCATCATCCATAATAACAAATAACAAAAATAATAATAAAAACTTCCAAAAACATGTGTCTCTGCTTGCCTGCTTGGTGGTGATTTGGTACAAATATATGACCTCTTTAATTAACGATCTAATACAATATAAATCCCTAATTTCCGTTTAAGATTTCAAAATTGAAATCATAAACGGCAAACTCCACAAATTAACGTGAATCAAACTTCTAGAAATAGTATAACTCCACGATTTACAATAATTAGGAGAAATCAAAGGTTTGATGAATTCAACGAAACAAAACAGATTAGCAATTACTCACTTGTTTGAAGATAAAATTTACAGCAAGAGCAGCGGCTGCAACGCCACCGCACAAAACCGCTGGACCCGTTAGCAAACTCCATTTCCTGTAAATCATCTTTCTTCTTCTTCTTCTTCTTCGCCAATCTTCGGAAAAGGAATCCCAATAATCTCCGATTCGATAACCGTATTTGTTAAAAAGGTGGGCGTAAATCGATCAGATAAACACAGCCCAATCGTGTGGACTTTTCTGGGCCTAATTTCATGGCCCAATTTCTACAGATAAATAACATAAAATAATAATCTACTTTTGTTAACATTTTATTTTAAAACAATTTCTTTACTAAAAGTCTAAAACTAAGGAGCCGTTTACTAAACGCTTACCTGACAAGTACTTATGAGATAATTTCCCTTCCTGGATGAACATGGCAAGGGCCAAGAATCTTACCCGGTAAGAGCGAATCTTACCCGGTAAGAGCGATGATAATGATGGAGAGTCTTAGCCGGTAAGTGAGGGTGACGAGTCTTACCCGGTAAGTGAGCGACGAGCCTTACCCGGTAAGTAAGGGTGACGACTCTTACCCGGGCAAGCGCTTACCACATAAATTGTTGCATAGGATATGTTTTGATGTACTACAATCTTACCCAATAAGATAAATTATAGTATTGACTCCTAACGTTAAATACTTACCGGGTAAGCATTTAGGTAAATGACCCCTAACAATTTGTTTCTATTTTGATCTATTTTAGGTAACATCTCCGTTAATTATTTTTTTTTGTATGGGTTAAGTCGTCGGTCTGGATAAATTTGAAATACGAGACAGGGAGACCAACGGGGTCGAGAGAGGCAAAGAGAAAATGTTGGATTATTTCTAGTATTAGTTTGTTTTTGATGGCTTAATGAGTACAAGTGAGGGTTTTGACTTATTCCATATAAACATTTTGGTTTAATGGCTTAACGATTAACCTTTAAAGGAACGCTCATATATGGTGAGCAAATAAGTCATTCAGACCATTAAGCTTATTAAGTTGCAAGTATATAACCCCGTAAAAATTAAGCCGTGGGGTTTTACTGTTCTCAAACACATTCGTCATTTAAACCTTTCAACGCCATTGCTTCCCCTCGACGTCCCATCATGAGTCTCTCCCCATCACCAACCATTGTAGTTGTTGTCCCTGCCATATGTCTCCCTCTCTTTTTATTGGTCTAATCGATGGCAGAGAACACAGTGGACGGTGATGGAGAGCGGATGATGATGGGGAAGCGAAAAGTAGCGAGGAGAGGAATGTCATTGACTACAAGTGGTTTGCATAAGGTATGGTTTGGGAATGGTAAACTGATAACCTTTTTAGCTAGTTACAAGCAGAGTTTATTTGTTCAAAAAAATGATTTGATGATAAGTTCGGTTTATTTTGTTTTTCATATTTAATCATTCAAAACAGAAAAGTTGGTGGAGTTATTCCAAATTTCCTTTAAAGTAATTCATTTTTATAGTTATAATAATTAAAAAAAACTCAAAGAACTTATAAGTATCATTGATTGCACACCAACTGTTTGGTAAAATTCCTCAAAGAGGGCCACCATGGTCTCTACTTTCAACTTCGATCCCAAAAAACTATTGGAACAGCGGCTATCACCTTTCACATATGTTCTGGCCTTGGCCCGTTGAAATTTTTTTTAATCATATCTTTGTTCGATGTATTTCTAATTCTATTAAAGACCGTCCAATGCAATATAAGTAATTTAGCTCGAAAATAACCTTAAAAGGAACAATTTTATTCATTGGCAAAATCCCTGAAAACGTACAACGTTAACATTCGTCTTGAAAAATAATTTACAATCAAGAAGAATAATAAAAGTAGTTGAGTGCCTTGCTTACACTAAACATATCTACTAGAAATTGCTAAAAAAAATGGGGAAACTTGTACATTCTATCTATTCTCTTCATTCTTCGCCTAAGTTGCTATTAGCACAACCTGCAGAGGCAACAGTAGATGTCAGGTGGTCTGCATACATCTCACCCTTTACAGACACTGCTTTTCAAAGTGGGATAATGGGTTTGTTTCATTTCGTTTCGTTTCGTTTTAGCAACAACACTAGTTGTACTTTCAAGAGAACATCTCTGAGTCGGTGATGTCAAAATGAAAGTTACTATCGAAATCAACATAATCAAGTGAAAGATCCCAATCCACCAAAGGCGAATTCTCGCCAGAATTTTGTGTCGAGTTTATCATCTCGCTAAGATCAGAATCCGAACTCTGGAGGTTGTGGTCAAGGGTGATAAAAGTCGTTGAATCGCATCCTAAATAGATAAGATTCTCCAACTTCTCAGTTTCAATTGGTGTTGAAGGGAATGAAAAGGAAGGAAAGGCTCCTTCCTCACTAGTATTCATTCCTTTATTCACTTTGAAGCTAAACCCATCATCATACTGCATTTTTTGTGTCGGTTTTGAGTCTTGAATCATGCCTTCTTCTTCTACTTCTTCTTTCTTCGGTTTTTTCTCCAATGCTTTCGATAGTTGATTAGCTTGAATACAAGTATGTCTTCCCTTATAAGTTACTTCAAAGACCGACGAATCTTCATCCGATCTTTGTACTTGTTTTGTTGCCAGACATCCTTGAAAGTTTCTATGAGTACATCTATAATATGCCCTGCAATTTCAAAAACCTAAATTTAGAACAATAATACAACATAAACGAACGCAACTGCTCTATTATTTAGAATAAAGTTCCGGTTTGCATACATTTGACCCCCAAACCCTACTTCTACTAGTCTACTCTTTACAATAAAGTTTAGGTTTGCATACATCTGACCCAGACCCTACTTCTAGTGCTCTACTCTTTACAATAAAGTTTAGGTTTGCGTACATCTGAACCACAAACCCTACTTAAATGGGATTTACCGGGTCCGTTTGATTTGGTTTTAGAACAATTATACAACAAAAATATATTATGATTACTTTTCGGGAGCGATTCATCCTTCCCGAACGCAGCATACAACTCTCCGTTGTACTGCGCTCTCCAAGTGTGCCTGTTCCCCCCTTCTTCCTTAAAGAACCAAACTTCATGCAAAATAACCGTACCACGGACTCTTTTTTATATCCTAAAGAAGCCATACATATCAAAAGAAACCTGAATTTAACAACAACTTGCTTTTCTTTGATCATTAAATTCCAAAAGGTTGGTTTGTTGTGATATTTAAGTCGAATAGGGGCCACAATATTGATGGCCTGATACACCATTGGCTCGTACTCACGCCTACCCCTATTAACGAATTAAAACACATGTAGATGATTCAAATGAACCCAAATTCGACAATTTTTCAGCCATTTGAACCCTTTGCATATACCCTTTTTGACAACTTTTCAAGATTTGCTATTGAGTTGTTCTCAAATAGCTAGCAATCAATATAAAATCAACACATCTTAAGGTTTGCAACCACTTCTAATAACAAAAAAGGGGGAAAGACAGGGATTTAAAGTTTCTAACCTTGGATGATTAGCACCTAAGATATCTTTCTGACCATATTTTCTCCAACTATAACCATCACTAAGAGGAGCTTCCACCATGGTCCCAGAACAAACCTTCACCTGTTCGCTCCATTTAGCCATTGTTTTCCTGCAAGAATTTCAAAAACAAAACCACCAAATCAGACTAAAATCCAATTTCCAATAAGAAACCAAAAAGCCCAACTTCAATAAAAAACTGGAAGAAACCCATGGAGTTCAAATAACAAGACTCAAGACTCACCTTTTCTTGAAGACATTCTTGTTGCATCGATGAGGGGAATCTGCAGGGTCAGAAACTTCAGTTCTTGGACTGATTTCATCAAAAGCAGTGCCCCAATTGAGCATAGAAAGGGCTTTTTCATAGGAAGAAAGTATCTTTTCAACAAGAAAATCACAATTTTGAGCTGACATGGTTTTGTCAAGATGGTTTTTAAGCTGGTAAGCTAGCTCTTTGCCTTGAGTTAACTCATTGATCAAAGGCCTTTTATGACCTGTTTCCATTTTGGAAATTGTAACAAAGTGTTACACGAAGTAAAATTGGGTTTTGTTGCTGAATGTGTGGAGAGGATCAAGTGATGATCTTCTTTTATGGATTAAACTGATGATGCAAAGACAAATGGACAACAAAATGAAAACTGCCCAGAAGGCAACTTTGGGCAGTTTAAAAGATAGTTATGAAGTTGTCAGATTGGATTGAGTGGATATATATGGTTGGTTTGATTTGCAGGGAGGAGGCAAAATAAAGAGAAAGAAAGTGGGAAGGTGGGTGGAAAGAGAGGAGAGGCAAGATGTATATATATATATCAAGAATGTGAAAAACCCAAGACTTAACAGACTCTTTCAGAAGTGAAATTCTCAAAATCAAGAATAAATACAATTTTTAATGCATGATACACAAGTGATTGTAGGGGAATTCTTTTCTTTTTTGGTTTCTTGTCACTCTAGTTTAACTTGGATATTTTAATTCATAATTTAATAAACAAGGGATTTCTAGGTGGGCCAATATAAAAGGACCCCATATGGCCTAACACAGACACTCTCTTTCACGCATAAACACAAACACTTTGTGTGCATTCTACTACTATTCACTGAAATGCTGAATTACGACTCATTCTTCTCACCCATTCTACTGTTGGAATAAAACTTCATCTAACGCGTAAAATTTTCCTCAAATTCGAAACAAAAAACTAAATCTTTATGATACAATTTTACAAACCCCCTTCTGTAATTTTCAAAATCCAATCTAGAAATTTTAAAGTTTTCCCCAAATTCTAACAAACAAGTTTAACGGTATAAATGGACAAACCCACATCTAATTTTCGGAAATTGAAACACAATCTAGAACATGACGCAAGAATGAACCCCACAGGATGCTAAAAAAAATAGAAATTTCGTAGAATATCCAATTAATTATTAAAATCAAAAATCGTTGTACGTGATGAAAGAGAGTAATTGGGGAAGTCAGCAAAGAAAAGGAAGAAATGAAGAATCTTCAAAGCTGCTTCCGCGTTGTTACCTTGATCATCATTCAAAAGTTGATAAGGAGAGAGAGATGACGATGATTGGGGTGGTCATTGTGAAACCCATTGCTTACGCTCATTCCCATTATTTTATTCGTCCAAAAAATAATTTTTATGTTTTTTTTTATTTTTGAAAAAATAGGATTTAATCTTCAAATTCTTTATTTATTTTTATTTTTAAATCATATTCCCATTTTATTTTTATTTCTTTAAATAATTAATTTAATAATGTTCAATAAATGCATAACATTTTTCTTATGTTTCTTCGATTACATAATTACTTTTTAAAAGACAATTGCATGTGTTTTAAAAAACAATAATTCTTTTTGGTTGATTTTTCATTAAATCCTATATTGATAAAGTGATTTGTGTGGATTAATTTGTCTGTATAAATTGTGAATGCTTTTCTATAGAAGAGGTTTTCATATATAGAACGAGCGTGTTTTATAATTGGTATGAACATGTTGGGAAAAACGTAGTTTCCATATAAAATTTTCCACTGAAAGTTTATTTAATAAACCATTTTTTATATCATTAAGTCTTATTAAAAATTATTAACAAACATACCTTAAATGTACTATTTTTTTTGGAAAGCATCTAAATATAATCTCTTAGGGTGTGTTTGGTACGTAGACAGGACAGGACAAAAGACAAGACAAAACAGAACAGAACAGGACAATTGTTCAGCATTTGGTAAGACATGACATGAATGGACATAACTTGTTAAAATGACCAATTTACCCCCAGTGAGCTGTTTAGTGTTTTTTTTACTAAATAATCAATATAAATGTTAACAAATACGGTGTGCAAAGTATAACTTTACATCAAACCACTACTACTTGCAAAAATATATTTGCAAAAATACATGATTTCATAATCAACTAATGTTATATGAAAAAGGTAAATATAATATAAGTATCAAGAATCCATTATCGAAACAAATCTATATGCATTTCATACTAAGGGGTTGTTTACCAAATTTTTCATTAAGTTCTGTATGGATAAATTTGTCTGTCTAGATAAAAATCTATTGTTGTTTACTTTTTTTTCTGAATTAACCATCTGAAAGATAGAAATGACCGTTTTACCCTTAAAACCAAAAATCATCAGATTAATAGATTTATCAAAAAAATGAAGAAAAATCAAGGTTTCGATCTGGAAAAAATGAGGAGAGAAGCTGGGTTTTTGTTCTTGGTTTYGATYTGGAAAAATCAAGGTTTKGATCTGGAAAAAATGAGGAGAGAAGCTGGGTTTTTGTTCTTGGTTTCGATCTGGAAAAATCAAGGTTTCTATCTGGAAAAAATGAGGAGAGAAGCTGGGTTTGGGTATTAAGGTTTCGATTCTAGGTTTTTGTTCTTGGTGACGCGTCGAAGTCGAGAAAGATGAGGAGAGAAGCTGCAGGTTTCGATCTGGAAAAAAACTATACGAAGGAGATGAAGGTTTCGATCTGGAAGAAGATGCAGGTTTCGATCTGGAAGTAGATGAAGGTTTCGATCTGAATGGAGACGATGGCAACAGTATCGATGGAGATGATGGTTGCAGAGCTCTGGAGAAATCGACCTRTTGTTGAAAATYGAAGAAGAAACCGAAGAAGACTCGATGGAWGGGACCTGTTGTTGAACCAGAAAGGAAGAAGAACCAGGGGTAGGGAAGAAGAACCAGAAAGGAAGAAGAACCAGGGGTAGGGAAGCGTGTCTTGAAGAGAGGAGTGTTCATTAAAAACCAGGGGTAGGTGTGTCTTTTTTTGGGCTGAATGTGGACAAGAGTCCATATCCATCTGTGTGAATAAGTTATGAACTGTGCGAATAAGCTCCAAGTAAACACTCTATTTTGACTGTGCGAATAAGCCGGAAGTCCCATTAAACCCATTAAGTCATAAGTAAACAGCCCCTAAGAAAAAAACTACTACCAACAAGCGCACAATCAATTAAAATAGATTAAATATCAAATAGTAAATAAAATACGAGCATCAAGAAAACAATTTGGCTAGTGATCCCATATAGTATCATCACATTCACAAAACTTGTATTCCATAAATTAATAAACTATAGGGATGAATATATAATAAATTACATAAATTAATAAAAATATAGAAACCGTATAAAAATAATATTTAGAGGACAGTAAAATGAAAGTTTAAGAAACATAAAATACAATAAATAAAATTTAAAGAATGAATAAAATGTAAAAGAAAGACTTATTTGATGTTTTAGAAGAGAATTAAGTTTTATTTCGATGTTATATTGGTAAAATATAAGTCTGTGCCACCTTGTTCCACCCTGTTCCATGGGGTAGGAGTGGAACATGCCTATTCCACTTTGTTCCACCCTGTTCCTGTCTATTTCACATAAAATTCCTGCCAAACATGGGACAGGGATCTTTGTCATGTTCTGTTCTGTCACTGTCCAGTGTACCAAACGCACCCTTAAGTCTCGTTTGGTTTGCAGAAATATAATGGATTTGGGAGATTTGGATTTCAAATCCATTTCAATCACATGTTTATTTTTGTTGGATTGTCCAGATTTGAAATCCTAGGATTTAACTGAAATTCTAGAAATATAGGAGTTTGAAATCTTTAGGCGTGCTCAGAATTTCACGGGATTTCATAGGATTGTATGAAATAAAGTTTTAAAAATATTTGTTTTGTAATAATCGATTAATAAAAATGTAATTTAATTATTTTTATAATTCTTTTATAAATAGTAGAATCCAATTCCATTCCAAATCCTACAAACCAAACACACCAATGATTTCAAATCCATTTCAATCCAAATCCCTCTAAAACAATCATGCAAACCAAACGGACTTTTATGATCTTATTCCAGTTAATCTAATGTGGTGTTTGGATGTGTCATCTGGGTATTTGATTCTAACGATTCAATATCAAATGATCGAACATCCAAACATCTAACGGTTGATTTCGTTTGATTTTGAAATAATTACACTTTTGTTTAATATGGTTGTTATTTTGTTACACTTCCGGTCCCTTTGACTATCTCCCGTTAAAAAGGTTCATTAACTCAGAAAAGTTAGTCAAATGGACAAAAAGTGTAACAAAAATGCAACCATAATAATAAAAGGTGTAACACACACACACACACAAGTCAAGGTTAATTTGCAACTCATGTAAATCTTATAACTTTTTGCAACCCTCGTTTTAGCCGTTGGATTAATGGCAAAGCGGTTTTTTATATTTTTTGTTTTTTCTAACTGAAAGTATTTAAACCCACATCTATTATAACCGTTGATTATGAAATCAATTGTTAAGATTTTGGTTGTAAGGGTTGTAACTTTTAAAGGGGTTGTAAATCAAAGAACATAAATATTTGCCAAATCAACTTTAATATTTTTATTAGTAGAAAATCATATGACAAAGGGGAGCGTGTCACATGTCTCGTATATTTACGAGTTATTCATTATGAATAAATGGTATTTATTATGAATAGTTAATGAATATTTACCTTTATTATTTGTGATGAATGTGGATATCTAGAGACACGTGCGACACTTTTCTTTGTAATTCTAGTTCACAATCTAAAATCGGTTTACAAATGAAATGAACATGTAACTTGTCGTAAAAAAATTGCTTCAAGCATCTGACTTCACTACTGTTGAATGTTCTCTCCTTCAGCATTTCCCAGTCCAAAACAGACTTGATCTTCTCTTGATCCAAAGGTAGATACAGAGTCGTCCCTTAGCATGTTAAATGTGAGATTTTGAACAGGGCTCCGGAAAGTTTGGGCCCCAAATTTACATGTGTTTAGGGTCTTTTTTATCGACTTGTGTAAAATTACAGCCGAAATTATTTAGGTTCGAACCATTAATTGTTTGTTTTATGTTCAAATTATTAACGGTTTAGGTTTAGTTTTAGATTGTTTATCGTTTTAGGTTTATCCCATTTTTGTTCTTAACATATATTATCTGTTAACTCATTTATGCAATACAATCAAAAATTTTGAATGTAACAAGGCCTTTAAAAAGATTGGAACGTGAGTAAGTAGATAAATAAAATTTTAACTTTCATATTTTTTATCAATCAAATATCGTATTTATATGATTTTTATACAACAACGATTAAAATAATTCATGTTTTAATACCCCCACTAAATATTTCTCTTTTTTTTGGCCCTTTTCTGGCTTCCCCAATCTCTCCACGTGGCAAATGACCCACTTGAGGTATGAACCCCACATATTAAAATAAGGTACAAGTTTTTATGTAAAATGTACAATTTGATATATATATATATATCTATATCTATATATATATATATTATATTCGAACCCGTGTATTCCATGGGGTAATTTAAATAAATAAAATAATGTCAGGAAACTTATCTTACAAATATAAATGATCATTGAAGTATCATTGAAGTTAAATGTAGTGTGTTGAAGCAAAGTTGTTGTGTATCGAGCCAAATTTGATTCGTAACCGAAGAACCAGAGCTTCTCTGTATTGAAATACCAGAGCTCTGTATCAAAGAACCAGAGCTCTGTATCGAATCATTATACGTCCTCGACCAAAAGCTAAAACGTTGAACCAGAAGTTGCTCGACAGATATGCACGTCTGTGCTAAATCGATCATATCTTATGCCTCCGAGCTCCAAAGAAGTTGAATCTAATCTCTATGGACAGCTAACACACTAATCTACAATGTTCATGTTTTGAGTTTTCCCAAACTCCAAATATTTCATGACCAGAAGCATCGTAGAGGCCAATGCAATGTTGTTGGACAGAAGCCTTCGGTGCTAATTTGTGTATCAAAGAAGACGAGAGGGAGGATTAGAGATGGACCAGAGCAACCAAGACGGACCAGAAATGCCTTCATGCAGAGCTTTGTATAGGCAAACAAGAGGCTCTGCATGGTGTCTTGCGCGCCTGTGTTAAATCAATCATATCTCATGCGTTCGAGCTCCATATATATATATATATATATATATATATATGAGTGATCAAATGAAAACCACCCCCATTTCTACAAACCGTACA